ATAATTTGAAAAAGCGCTAGTTGTATGAGATACATACTTTTAAATTCTTGGTCTGGGATTCCCATAGCACTAGAATCTTGGTTTTAATTTTCATTTCAGCAAGCTCTTTGCTTTTATGCTCTCCCTGCTTTTTCTCATTTCTTGCAAATTATTCTGAGAGACACTTTGAGAGAAATGGTTTTGCATAGATCACCTGTGCTTTTGCAGGTGTAAAGATTCCCATAGGGTTGGATTTTTTTTGTCCTTTGAAATCAGATGGATGATTGTATGTAAAGAGATGCAGATATCTTTATAAATACAGGTATGAGACCTGTATGAGATATATTTGTGTAGATACCTCACACAGGTGTGTTTATGTACATATCAAAGATACAAATAATCTCAAATGCAGCCACTGTTTTTTCTGAGGCTGGATTAAATTGTCGAAGGAGTAGTGTGGAATATGTAATTCAAGCATTTATTTTTTGGGTGACACAAATGTAGCCAGAAGAGTTTGGAAAAAAACCCATTAAATTATTTCCTCTTGTTTGAAAAATTCTTGATTAAATGGGTAAGAGTTTGAGAACAGTTTGTGCCAACCGTGCTTCTCTCACCTTGGTTAGACAAGATATTTCTGTTCCATTTTTGGGCAAAAGAAAATTATGCTTTTGGTTTGTGTTTTTTTTCTTGTATAGCTCTGTGGAACAGTGGTAACATGTACTGGAAACATTAAGGGGTAAGTAATAAACTTTTTAAGTTGGGTTTAAGTTTCTAAACTTTCTAAGTCAGTTCTAGGTCTGTTAGTACTTTACTATTTTTAATAAGTCTGCTCTGCTTTCTGTAACAGACATGCTGTAAGGTTTAAAAATAAGAAGAGTATTGAACCATACTGATGTTCATATGAAAATCTGTGCCTTTGTCCTGCTTAAATTGCATTATAATTTAGCCTGTCTGAATTCTTCCTGAATTGTTTTTGTGATTATTTCCAGGCTATATAAATGAGGCTCAAGATTCTTCTACAGGAATATATCATTATTGTTCCAAGTGTATCGGCATTTGCGTCATCTTCCGAATCCTGAGCCACATGTTTTGTGTCACCTGTACTTAAATCCCAAATGTACTATTGAATGTTATGCCATAAACTACTGTACAGAATACTTTGCAATCAGGGCACTGCCTCTTAAATACCACTGTTCAAGGCTTGAATTAAAATGTTTTTTGGTGGTTTTGTTTTTTTTTTTACTTTTTTACACCGGGCTTTCTACTTTACATCACAGTATATAAATTAATTAGATTAACAGCCTTTGCCTAGGAATCCTCTGACAATTGGTCAAGCTGTTATCTTAAATTGTTGATTTGTGTTAAGTACAGTACATACACGTTTACATAAAAATGCATTTTGTATACAGAGACTTTTGTATATACGTTTTTCTTAAAACTTGTGTTTAGTTAAGATTTTAATATTGTATAATACTCTTCACAGATGAATTTACCAGCATGATCAGTGTTGCTATTTGGTGCTCTTGAATGACAACTTTGGACTAAGTTTCAAGTGTAATGGGATCCACAGTGTCTCTTTGTGTCGCTGAAAAGTTCAACTGTAGTTTTGTTTTCTCCCTCTCTTTTAATTATTTAATGTTTAGTGGGTTTTTGCAGTATAGACCTGAAAGGGACTTTTTGAAGAAGTTTGTTTTGAAACCTTTGGGTGGGAGGGTTGGGAGTGTGCGTGATGCATAATATAGCAAAAAAGCAAAGCTTTCTAGAGTTCAGTAGTACTCAAAAAGAGCATGAGACACGTCATATGTTGGTGATTTTTAGAATGCTTCACATTCTCTATCTCCCTTTTCCTCATTCATAGTCACTTCTGTAATGTCCTTAATAATATCACTGTTAGGCCCTGGGCCCTTCAGGGGGCAGTAATACTATTTTTGCAAAATAGTTTCAAAATATGATTTCCAGTACTGAAATTCAGATGTGTTGAGCAGTTGGAATTAATGTTTGTACTGTTAGAGTTATTGCCTTGAATTTAGGCTTACAATTGCATTGCTGAATTAGTTAACAATGGAATTCATAAACAAGGCCAAAAGTATCCATGTTACTAGTCTAAAGTGTTTTGGTGGGTGAAGTAACTGGGTATATTGATCTGAAATAGTGTCTCCTCATATATATCAGTATTGTGAACTTTGTTTCCAACGAGGTTCAGTGGCTTGAAGTAGGGATAATCCTGTAAATCATGCATATAACTTTAAAGAAATGCTGAAAAGTGACACCAGTCTTTAATCTGAAATAATCTTACATTTTTTGATTTTAGGTTGTAAATGGAAACGTTTCTAACTGACAGTATGTAGCATATGTGTATATGTAATGTTCAGAACTGCAGATTTTTAAAAGTTTCTATTTTTAATTTGAGAAAATGTTGCCAGCTCATTTAAATAAAAAAGAACTTGCTGAACTACCTGATGTTCAGTTCTCAGTGGTTTTGTTGTGTAGACCTGTCTCAGAAGAATTGCACTGAGTTAAAATCTTACAAAAATTAATTTCTTTTTACCCTGATTAAAAAATTCTGCTATATTTGACTTCTATTGGTGACTTCAGCGTAAGCAAGGTAAGAGACAGTGAACTGGAGCAGGAAGGACTGAAAGAGCATTGACTGTGGGTGGGGAGCTTCCAACTTCACAAAAGATGTGATTTATGCAAAGATAGTAGTGTTCGAGCTGGTGAGTTTAGTGGTTGATATCCATGTACCCTGCAAGTGCTTGTGGTTTTACTGCTTGGCTTCGTTGTTTCTGTAGCACTGACAGCAGAATGAAATGTTTGCCAGTTCTTTACCTCCCATAGTTCGTTGCTGGCATCCTTGTAAAAGGACAATTGTTTTCCACTGATGTAACAGACCACGAGCTGTTTCATCTGAAGCTCAAGCAGACGGAGGACACAAATGTCAGATGGGACTGAAACAAACACTTGGCAGTAACGTATTAACTGTAATACATAATACACCAGAGTGCTTGAGTCTAGGCTTTGGTATTTGTCCTTATCCTTGTAATCTTGAGTTTTCATGATTACACCTCAGAAACTTTCAGAACAAGAGACCTGAAACAGGTATGAAATAACAGGTATGAAGAGTTTTGAACTCTAACAACTATTAGGATAAGAGAGATGAATGCCTTTAGTTTCTAATTAAAGTTTTTTCAGTGCTGTTGTGCATAACCAAGTGTAAATAATGCATATGTTTGTCAAATATTAGGAGGTCTTTTGAGTTCTTGCAGTATACATTTGAAATCTTGAAGTGTGGGGTGGGCAACACGATTCTTCTGGCTGGCTGGCTGACAAGCAAGAAGACTTCCCAGAAAACAACAGAAGAGTGAATTGTAAATCTGAAGTAGGCTTCTACTGTTGCTGTTTCTCCCAAGACTTGACTGGAGGGCCACAGCTCTGTGCTTTGAAAGAGGCAGTCAGGAGAAACAAACGGCAAGAAGCCGGGAAGGAGACCTCTGCTAAAAATGTTGTCAAAATAGCCTCAGAGAGGGGACAAAAAGAAAAAAAAAATCTCCTCTCCAGCAAATGGTACTTATTCATGGGGAACTTCGTGACAAGTTCACTGGAAGAACAAGGTTCAGACTACCCAGAATAGCTGTTCTATGTGGGTCCATCTCCAAGCAGGCATCTCTAGGACATCTGCCACAGCAGCTAAGTACTCTATTGTCAAGTATTAGAGAAGTAATTTATGCAAATTTTTGTTAATGCTTCACTCTCTGTGTTAAGTGAACGGTTTTGTCTTGGTATTTTCTTTAGCATTACCTGTTGAGTGTCTAGATACGCAAAAAGGTATTCTAGTCTGTTATATATGGCCATTCTTAAACCCAGGGTTTCTAGCACCCTGCAGTTACTCATGCATACCTAAATAATACTCTTCCAGAAGCTGTTCAGGTGAAGCACGCATGTCTTTGAAAGAAGTGCCCAGTGGAGTCTTACTAGCCAGAAAAGTACCGTGGCTTGCAAGGGCATGGGAAAGACTTTTTTCCCTCACGACCTCCTGAGTTCTAGGGGAGTTACCGTGCTTTTCCTTAGCTCTGCTTTTAGCTACTGCACAGTAGAGGATTCTGCACTATAATATTTTTGTTCTCTTGCTTTTGTTTTATGGCATTTTTACAGCTCATTTCTTATGAACAGGAAAATATTTATTAAAAAAAAAAAGTGAAAGGTGATAAAGCACAAATATGTCTGACATGCCTGGGGTCTATTCCCTGCTGCTGAGACCCAGGATAAGCTAGTTCTGTTGTTTTGCTCTGTTCGCTGAAAATAACCCATAGTGTCACAATGAGGATAAAAATTCTAAATGTTTGGTTTATTTTTAGGTCTGTAATACCTCATTTTACTAAAGCTTACTCCTTATCTTGGTTAAATATTGCCAGTCTAAAAATCTTTCATGGCTCAAAGAACATGGAGCTGATTCTTCCTTGTGTCCCTGCTGCGTGTCATTTACTGACAAAATGGGATACTGAAGTTTCATCCTTGCTGTGCAAATCCCCCAAAAAACCCCATTCCACGGATCAGCCTTTATTAGCAGGACACATTTATAATCATCCAGATGTGGCTACATAGATTACTTTGGTGCCTTATTTTTTTTTATAACTTGAATGTGGTCTTACAAGCTCTGGCACGAAGATAAGTATAAAGCAGCTGGAGAATGGAAAATATATGTTAAAAATCAAATATGACATGTTCATCTCAGATAGGAATGTGCTTCTCGGTTATACAACTAGCATTCTGTTTTTAACTGCATTTACACCTTCTTGGGAGTTCACAGCTTATTTGACACTCCCTTGGGCTATAAAGTATGGGCACATACCTACTGAAGTGTGATTTATTACTATTTAAAAAAAAAAAACCACAACTTCCCGTGTTTCTCTGGAAGGAGGCCTCTTTGTTCACCAAGCCTTTAAATTGTGAGCAGATAGTTAGCTACTGGTTTCACTTCTTTGGATCGTGTTGCTCAAGAATCTCAGTCAACTCCCCTCACCATGAAGAGCCTTGCTCTTCTTTTCCTAATAGTGATCTGTGGTATGGGAGGATTGGGGCAGAAGCTGAAGCCAAAGAAAAGAAGCAATGGTGAAGAAATCAAATTTCGGACTAAAACCAAAGATGTTTGCACAATGAGCATTAGTGGGGATGAGGAGATGAATGTTAGAATTGAATGCAGAAGCCAAGACACGTCCTACTGGTGTGAGTTCGCTGGCAAGCCATCAGTCTGTCGTGCTTTCAGAAACAATCCAAAGATTTACTGGAATCAGGTCGCCGTGGAACTCAGAAAGCTCCCGCATGCTTGCGAGTCCACAAAAGTGTTGAAGACCACCATGTGCCAGAAGGCTCCCACAGAGGCTCTCATGAGGCAAATAGCTGCTGGTATGGAGCCAGAAGATTTAGCAGATGAGGACGAATCAGTCGAGCAAACTGGCGTAAGAGCAGCGGGGACAAGCCCTGCTCATGAAGTAGGAGAGCCTCTTAAAAAACCAACTCAACATGGTCAAGGGTCTGAAAATGAAACGGAAGCAATGAAACTGGCACGGGAACATTGCTGGGAATCCCTGCATGGTGTCTGCTCCTATGTTTTTGACATCTTTAGAGGTTGAGGATTTGCTTCAGGTAAAACTCCACCTTGAAGCGTGGCAGAGTAGAGCTAAGAGTAATCCTCTTGTAGTTTTATTTTGTTTTGGGAGGTTTCTCAGGGTTGTGGACAGGGAGATTCAAGGCTCAGTCGCTAAATTCTGAAGCCTGTGCTGTGGCTTCTGTAAGAGCTGGACAGATGAAACTCCCAGTAATGGCTACTGGTTCAGGATTCCCTGACAGCCTCCTGTGAGGTCTTTAGTATGTGCCGAGATACTTGCCCTATCTGTTATTAATCCTACGTTTTTTCAATTCTAATTGTTTGAATTGGGCTTGTTTTCTTCCTTCCATCACTCATTTCCTATTCTGCTGACTTACGGATTTAAGCCTGTGAAGTGGGGTAAATAACAAATGCATTAGTTAGAGCAGTTTAGAACTGCTGATAATTATGCATTTTAATTTTAGAAATTAGTTTTTAAACAACTTGCAGAAATTAGTAAGAGTGGACAGATTTTCTTGGTTTGCGAGTCTGCTTCTGTAGAGGTGATAGGGGATCACATGCAGGCTCTTGTCTGGTAAGTCTTGGGTTTTCAGCCAGGATTTTAAAAAAGCAAAGCCCTCACAGGAGTTAATTGGGCAAAAGTATTTAGGCTGCTGCTGGTCTTACTTGTGCTTAATACAGCAAAGTTACTAATTTTTTTCTTTTTTATTTTTGTTTTGCAGAACAAAATTTTTACAGCTGAAGAAGGGTCCTTGCTGTAGTTTAATAATTTAGACAAAAGAATTTTAGTTTAAAAATGAATTGTCTCTATAAAGCTTGTAATTATTTTCTCTTTGCATCCCTAAAATGATACTTTGTAACAGCCCTGAAAAATGCATGAGACCAGAGTGACTGTACTTAAAGTGTCTGGATGAACTAACTGTTCCTAGGTCTGTTACACACCAAGGTATACTGCATTTATGTAATCGAGTAAGAGTGACGAATACATCTTTGTGTGTGCTGATTTGCTTCAGTTTATTAGAAATGAAAGCTAAATGATGCTGCATTTAGTGCAAACAATAAAAGTAAGATTTTTGAAAACGTTCTCGGTGTGCTTTCTTTAAATTTTAAATGGTGCTACTTATATAGAGTTGTGGTATTTCATAATTGTTTTTTTAAGAGATTGTTGGTGGACTTTGTAAGAGCAGTTACAAGTCTGAGTCATTACCTTCCCACTGCGAACATGTTTTCATTCATATTAGTATTTTTCAGTGTTATTACTTTATATTATAATTAAAAGTTTCAGCCAACAGGGTGAAAAAAGATTGGGAAAATAAGAGTAGTGTAAGAATATGTTGCAGATTGGAAGGGTTCATCTGTGATGCATATGCAGAGTTCGATGTTACTGGGATCTGTTAGTGGTAATATTAATGTTTGGGTTCAATAAATATTCTGAAAGATAACTCATATAACTATATATAACTATATAACTATATAAAACTCATATATAAGATAACTCATAGTCAGGAGCTGGCATCCCCGCCCAAAACAAGGAGGGTCGACTTAGATGATCTCTAAGGTCCCTTCCAGCCTAGGCCATTCTATGATTCTATGATACCTATGCACTTGGGAACTTTCATAAATCTCATCACAACACAGAGCAAGACCTAATAGCCTATTGTCAGACATTACAACACATTTATTTTCAGATTATTTTCTAACAGTGATCCCTTTGTTCCCAAGCGAGCTTTGCAGCAGGGATATAACTGGAAAAAACTTTGTACCACAAGTTTATTAGTGCTCTGTATTTGCTGTTAAACAGTTTCTGCAAGGTGTTGTTACACTGAAGTACTTCTCCAGCTTTACTCACAGGTTTGTAATCCTCACTTCCTAATTCCAGATCCTGACTGTCCAGTTGCTAAACTTTGTGTCTTGTACCAAAAAAACCTCATAATAATTTTCTATCCCCAAATCTCTTGAAATAAATGGAAAAGAACAGCAATTATTGAACTCGGGATCAGTGCCAAAGGGTGTATGTGTGAGGCAGAAATACAGTTTGAATGCTAATAAAATGCAAGCTCTAGCAAGTCTGGTTTTGTCAGACATAAACCTAATGTGACTAAACTTAGTTTGTAATTTCCATTACCCGTACCAGGCTCTTGTGCTGTGAATAAAAAATGTTAGAACTAGACCGATTCATCTGTTGCTGTCATAGAAATTTTCTAGGGACACTGTGCTTGGCATTGTGTTGTCTGGAACTCCCTGGAGCTTTGTTTGCTGTTGAAGTGGAAGCTAGAAGTCAAGTAGTTTTGCACTAAAGGCCTCACTTTCATTAAATGCGCTTTCTGAAATATCCAGGATCTAAAATGCATAGTTAAGCACTAAATTTTACAAAACACTGAAGATTTTGGTACTGAGGTGGTTTGGATTGCGTTTCATTAGGCAAGACTGTGCACCCTCCACAGGTCAGTTAAGTGTGATGATCTTGCTTTCAAAATGTTTAAAGATTGGATATTTACTGAAATACCCCAACTTAGCGTAACAGCACCATGATTGTGTCCGCTGCATTGCTATTTAATTGTGCTTGGCACTAGAAACATACAGTTGTGGCATTTTGCTTACCTTCTTGGTGTGAAAGTGCTATTTATTAATGAAAGGATGAATTGAGAAGTGTTTTTGGTGAGTTCAGTGCCTTCAAGTACCTCGTGAATGAATGCAACCTGCTGTTTCGTTCATTTTAGCTTAACTTGTTAGTCCTCATATAAGTACCTCAGGAAATCCACTCGAATGGAGATGGAATTTGTCTTTTATTTTCTTGACAGAGGAACAGCAGGCAAAAACGTTTGTCTAAATTCCTGCAGCCAGGTCTGCTGCTTCTGCTGCTAGTTCAGTGCAGTTGGCAGTCCGCCTGCCTCTCAAGATCCTCATGTGTAGGTGCCCACAGAAGCATCCTAAGTGTTGGCTACTTCAACCAGGTAAGCCTCCAAGAAAACTTAAGCGATGTATTTAGAGAACCTGTGTATAAAAGAATGCGTATTTAACACACGTAGTTAAGAATCAAGAAAGATGATGATAAACTGGAGTGAGTCCAATGGAGAGCCACCAAGCTGGTTGGGACTGGACCATGCTCCTGTGGGGAGGGGCAAGGGAACAGGGCTTCTTCAGCCTGGGGAAGAGAAGGCTTAGGGGTGACCTAATAGCTGCCCCCCAATATGAATAGAGAATTTGGGGCTACACACTTCACTGTGTGAGAGGAGAAAAAGAGATCATGGCCATAAGTTGGTATAGGTGAGGCGGTGACATGTTGTCAGGGAAAAAATGCCCTGCGAGGAGGATAAACACAGGAGAGGAGCAGGCTGCCCGGCGTGGCTCGGGAGTTTCCCTCTCTGGAACTTTTCAAGACCAACTGGACAAAGTCAGAGCAATGAGGTCTGAATTCATTGCGATGCTAATTCGAGCAGGAGGCTGGACTACAGACCTCCTGAGGTGCCTTTTAACTTGCAGGATTCTATGATTTATAACGGAAACACAGGAAAATGCTTAGCAATTAGGGCTATTTAAAATAAACATCTCTGTTAGCGTCTTAAAATGCAAAAAATAGTCTTGGATCAGCCATTCTAACTATGCCAAATCAAATCAAAGAGAGGAATTCTTAAGTATGTTCTAATGGCAGATCCTCTTATTAAGTCAAATGATAATGTCTTGGATATTTTATGTTAAGTGGCTTTGTCTTTTGGTAAATATTTTTATATAGCCTGGTTTCCTGGTGAGGAAAATAAGCAAGGAATTCAGGTGTTAAGAAACACCAAACGTTAGGTCTGTTTGCCTTAAAATCAATTATCTGAAACTAAGAAAATCAGTATTTGCAGTGTGTAGGTTATTCACGTTCAAATAAACCAAACCCAGACCTCACTGATAATGTTGGTCAGTCTGCCTGTAAATCATCTTGACTACGCAGGAGTGCACTCTGGTGTTTTTTTGAGGGAATTGTTTAGGTGTGTTGTCTTTGGTCACTTGCGTGGCGTGCAGGCTTACGTTGTGTGTTCTTCATTTTTCAGTAGATGTAGTTGATACGGCGTGGGTTTTAGGGACAGATATCTTCATTTTAGGGACAGGTATCATCAACAAAAATAAGAGAGCAAAGAAAAGAAAATTTCTCAAAGTTGCCCTTTGCCATTCCTG